GTAATTGAAACCACTAATTTAATCCACTACTTGGGAGGTTCTGAGAACCTCGAAATCAGTGGAATGAATTAGTGGTTTCAATTAGCCGTAGAAGTTTGTTCATCTAATTTAAATGTAAGCATTCAGAACGTCATAATTAGTGGTGGTAACTTTTAATTAGTGGAAAAAGTTATCAAACTTTCGACTTTTCCACTAATTATACTTCAAAATTTGTGAGGAATGTCATTTTGGCCTTTGATTATCACCCGTCAAGAAAAATTTTGGTTAGAAATCAAAAGTTTATTGTTTTGTAAGCTAAATATTATGCTTTCTCTAAGGATACAACAAACTACCGCAAGCTGTTGCTAGGATATTTTGTTAATTGTAAGTGTGTTTTTTAGACACTGTGAATGATCGTAAACTAAAAAGTATAAAGTGTAATTGAAACCACTAATTTATTCCACTACTTGGGAGGTTCTGAGAACCTCGAAATCAGTGGAATGAATTAGTAGTTTCAATTAGCCGTAGAAGTTTGTTCATCTAATTTAAATGTAAGCATTCAGAACGTCATAATTAGTGGTAGTACCTTTTAATTAGTGGAAAAAGTTATCAAACTTTCGACTTTTCCACTAATTATACTTCAAAATTTGTGAGGAATGTCATTTTGGCCTTTGATTATCACCCGTCAAGAAAAATTTTGGTTAGAAATCAAAAGTTTATTGTTTTGTAAGCTAAATATTATGCTTTCTCTAAGGATACAACAAACTACCGCAAGCTGTTGCTAGGATATTTTATTAATTTTAATTGTGTTTTTTAGACATTGTGAATGATCGTAAACTAACAAGTATAAAGTGTAATTGACACATCAAATTTATTCCACTAATTGGGAGAGTCTGAATGAAGCTTAAGAACCACTAATTTATTCCACTAATTATGAGGTTCTGAATGAAGCTTTAATGACTAACAGTCAATTTAGAAGCTTTGTAGTCTCTTATTACTTACATTAAATATAAAAAAATTCTCTTAAATATCTGATTCATAAATTCATGTACAGCACAAATGACATTTCAAACAGGAAATCTGATAGAACTATTTCGAAATGGTATTATATCATATCAATTAAAAGTCAGAAACTTTTTACCACAGTAACCTCTTCTATTCTGGTTATTTGATTGTTGAATAATCGAGTCTGTTTTTCAAAGTTATTTAGACTGAATGCTACTAAAAAAGAGATATATTGTAGATACATAATAAACCGCATCGTGTTTGACCATCTCCAAGAAACTAGGTGAAGTGAACGAGTACGACATTCTGATACCGCAAAATGTTGGTGAAAACTGTTTATTGGACCGCATCTCTATTACCGATTCACTACTTACTTAAACTAACAAACGATTTTTCGATAGTGCTAACGGTTAATGGATTTACCACGGAATGTGGATAGAACATTCTAATTAAGTTAAAACAGTACTTCTTACTGTTGCCCAATTGTGACGGAAAATATCCAATGCTTGAAGAAAATACATTATAAAATATTCACCTTGCAGCTTGCAGAAAAAAAATATACAGGGTGGTACGAACTGTATTCCGGAAACTTCGGCAGCATATTCACAAGCATATTCTGCAGATTAAAATAAGTAAAAAAGTTCGTATAAATATATGTCCAAAAATGCTTGGTTTCAGAAATACAGGGTGTAGAAGTTTCATTTTTATTTCGATTTTTTCCAAATAATTTATGAAGTAACGTCAATAATTGGATAAAAATTCGTGTCTGGAAGTTCATTGACATGATAAATTTGATTTTGAGGTCAGTATGACTCCTACTAGTAGAGGGCACCACCTACATATTTTTTAACTGGTTTGAAGAGTCATAACTTTTCGTCCGTATCTGTATAAGAATACCGAGGGAAAAAATATACTATGTGACTTTTTACGTAAAAATATCTCTTTGTAAAAGTCGCTACGAGCAGCCGTTCTCAAGATATTTAGAATGGAAATAGTCAATACATGTCATTATATTATATGACGAAAAATAAACACGTTGAGTTGATAGTAATTTCACTGAAATAATAAATTGGCTGTACTTAAAATGTCGTTAAACGGTAGCTTACCAAAATGCCGTTAATAGGTATGCCGTCGTTGATGTGACGCACTGGCCGGCTCTATGAAATATAGGAATTTTATAAGGACTATAACCAACGCTATCCACCCCACCAAATAACCAACTTAACCAACGCAACTAACCTCGACACTGATAAAAAAATATAAAAAACAAATATAAATTAGTAAAAACCAACCAAACCCACCAAATGAATTAACACCCTCCAAATAACCACGCTAACCAACCCGCCAAATAACTAAACCAATCCAACCAAAAAGAGTGAAACCAATGCAATAAGATCACGCTATAAGCAAAAAAAAAATAAAAAAGTTTTGGTCGGCGTGAGATTTGAACCACGGACCATTTGCTCACGAAGCGATAGCCTCAGCCACGGAGCCACAGGTGCTCTTGCAAAATGCTTATAGCCAGGCATTACTTTCCGCCGAAATGAACGACGTCACAATATCTATTAACGGCATTTTAGTACGCTACCGTTTAACGGCTGTTTAAGTCCATCGTAATAAATTCGGGAAATTTAATTTTTTTTAAATTAATCATAAATTTTTCTGCAAAAAAATGATGATAAAACAGTTTCTATTGAACTTTTGGCACAAAAACTTTCAAATTTATGACTTATGGCAGTCTAATAATTATTTAGTCAACATGTTTAATTTATGTCAATGATGACAGGTATTGATAATTTCGATTCCAGATATCTCGAAAACCAATACTCGTAGCGAGTTTTACCAAGAGACATTTTTTACGTAAAAAAACGTCGTAAATGTATATTTTTTTACTCAGGAGTTTTATACAGGTAAGGACAAAAAGTTATTACTCTTCAAACCAGTTAAAAATATGTAGGTGGCGCCCTCTACTAGTAGGAGTCATATTGACAGACATCAAAATCAAATTTCTCATGTCAAAAAACTCCCAGAGGCCAATTTTCATCCAAATATTGACGTTACGGCAGAAATTATTTGGAAAAAATCGAAATAAAAATTAAACTTCTACACCCTGTATCTCCGAAACTAAGCATTTTAGGACATACATTTATACGAACTTTTTACATATTTTTATCTGCAGAATCTGCTGCCGAAGTCCCCGGAATACAGTTCGGACCACCCTGTATACAGGCTGAGTCAAAAAAAAATGTTAAAACTAAAAATAAAAAAAATTAATTTTTTTTCAAAAAATTCCAAATTTTCAAAATTTTTTAAAATATTTAAAAAAATAACGGTAATACTTTTTTCATTTATTTATACATATTATGTTCTTAAAATTATAATTAGTACGTCTACAAATGTCAAAAATGTTATTAAAGTAAAATGCATCAGCTGCATATAATCAGCATATTGAAGAGAAATATACTTAGCTGTGCAAAAAGCTACAGTAACCAATCGAAAAGAATATAATTATGTATTGGAAAAAATAGAAATATTTCCGGAATTTTCTACAAAATAAAAAAAAAGTTATTCATTATAAAAAAAGTTAAAGCCAAACGTTGAGTTAAAGTCTCTTTTTTGCTGCTAGGGCTAATCGGGAATGGGCCTACTTCGTTTATTTGGAATCCGAACCGAGGTCCTCGGCCGTATCATTATCTATAGCCTATCGACATGAATTAACGTGAATGGAGTGAGTGCCAATAGATTTTACACTTTTGCCATGGAAGAACAGCACGACTCAGCCTAGATTGTTTTCCTCTAGTGTTGTTATCTTAAAGTAGTTAAAAAAATAAAAATGTTACACATAGATTTGTCCTAGTCTTCTTAGTTCCCGAAATTCTGGACGAAGAATTAAGAAAATCAGTATAAAAAACTGAAAGTGTGTTCTAACAACCTACCCTATGTTTTATAGGCAAAACATTAAACGAAATACAAACCCCAAATCATAGACACAATGATAACAATACACAATATATACAACTTACAATTCCATACATACGAGGCGTTTCGGAAAAAATAAGAAGGATAGGAAAACAATATATAACATACGAACATCTTTAAAAACACAAAATTCACTTAGATCCATTTTATCACATACTAAACCAATGAATACAGAACAACAAACAAAAAATGTGATATACCAAATACCATGTGAATGCGATAAATTTTACATTGGTGAAACATCTAAACCCTTAAATGTTAGAATTAAATAACATAAAGGTTATTTAAGAAAGGGAGATTTTCACAAATCTAAGATTTGTCAGCATTCATGGGACACAGGGCACAGAATACATTTTAATAACGCCAAAATTATAATGAAAGAAGCGATAAAAGAAAGCCTCTAAAAGAAAAATAAAAGAGGCTTTTTTAATTCAATCTAATAAAAATAAATGTATTGCTCATGCATCTGTAGATGTTAGTAATGTATGGCAATCGCTTCTTTGATTTTAAAGAACATAACATTTGTAAAAATAATAAAATAATCAAACAGAAAGTTTGGGACTTTTTGGTTTTACCTTATTAAGTAATTGTTATCAGGTAGTAATTTTTAATTTTGAAGTTTAACTTGATATAATGTCATATTAACAGAACGTCAACGGTTTCTTGTAGACGTATCTGTTTTAAAAAAGTAAAGTGTTCTCGAATAGTTGAATTTAAATATTTTAAAAAGTTTTTTTCTTTATTCTTTGTATTTTTTTGCTTCCGACGACGGAAAGAGATAAACTTTCCGAAACGTTAAGCATTTTTTTCTTTGTTAGGCAAATTTGTATAACTGTAAACATAACTTCTGACAAGCAGTTTCCGTTTAGGTTTAACGCAAAAGTGTTGACAAAAAATAACTATTTTATTTTGTAGATTTTCTTGCAGTGCAGTGGCGAAACTACCCTATGTTATAATAACATAGCCCCAAAATCGCCTTTATGACTAACTCTCTATAATTCTATAAAACCTTCTAATATGATATAATTATCACTTACCTTTAAAGTGACACTATCGCCGGAAGCTTTAATCATGTCAATAATTTCTTCCCTGCTTCTGTCCTCTACGGGCACTCTGTTTACTTCCAGAAGCTTATCGCCAGGAAGGAGACCAGTCTCGTTGTTATGCTGAATCATTGAACCGGGTTCAGCAAAAATTACAGCCCTCATTGTTACACCACCTGACAAAAAAAACTATTATTATAGTCATCGGTAGCAAATGTCCACTTTGTAAAATGTCCACTTAAAAAAAACATTACGATCAACGGATTTACAAAGTCAGTTGTCTGACAAATATGAGAACAGAGAGATCAAATAAGATTTAAGTAACCAATAGTAATCTAATTGCTTATTACTATATAGGGCGGTCCGAATTGTATTCGGGAAACTTTGGCAGCATACTCTGCAATTAAAGATAAATAAAAATGTTCATATAAATGTATGTCCTAAAATGCATCGTTTCGGAGATACATACAATGTGTAGATGTGTCATTTTTATAGAGGGGGGGCTTAGAACTTTTGTTGTTCTAAAAAATGAATAATAATATTAAAATTTTTTTGAATAAAACGTTTACATGAATTATTTCTCTATCAATAAATTTGATAGACTTGGTTATCAACTCGTCTTCTCGTGGATTACTTAAATACCTACAAATTTTCTAAAAAAAATAAAAAGAACACACATTTTTTGAACAAAACTAGAAAATGTCATACAGACCAGCAAGCAAATAAAAATGTATATTTAACCAGGAGTCATAATTCAGTCAAATTCAGGATTTCTCTGGGGACACCCTGCATTACCTGAGGGTGGACACGGCATCCCCGGGCCCCCCTATATTTACACCAATGTCACCATGGCAAAAAGCCCCCAGATACCACTTTTCATCCAAATATCAACGGTATTTCAGAAATTATTTAGAAAAAATCGAAATAAAAATGAAACTTCTACCCCGGGATTAATTTTATTACATAAATTTAATCGATCTTTTCTACTTTTTAAAGTTTTTAATCCGCAGAATATGCTGGCGAAGTTTCCCGAATGCAATTCGGACCACCCTGTATATCCGAATTTTGTAAAGTAGGTTATATAAAATGCTTCCTATATGTCTAATTCCACAAATTAAAGTTATATAACACAATTTCCCAAAGTCAATCGTGTAAAACTCATAAGTTTTTATAGTAATTTATGTCATAATTTATTATTTGTGGCTTATCACAAGTACCGAACATATAAATTTTAATAAAAAAAGTACCGCTGCTACATATGAATATAAATTTAATGATATGGCACCGTTGTTTATCCTACTTAAATATTATGTTCCCTTGTCAAATATCTGGGGGTATACTCATTTCTGACGTACATATTTTGTACAAAAATTAATAGTAAGTACATAATATGTAATAAAACATTAGAGAATATTATTATCGGTCTGATTCAGTGCGCGGGGTTACATAAGTGAAAACTGCCGATAGCTCTTTACTATGTGGATCTGCCGCGCCGGATCGATTCAGTGCGCGTCTTGCCCCAATATGCGTTCCAGAGGAGCAACTTTTCAAAACGCATTTTGTCCATTTTGGACAAAATTGAGTTTGAAGCGAATTTGGAAATTATTTGTATTGCTCTACAAGAGGGTATAAACAAAACGTTTCAAATAGCATCATGTCCCTTTGTAATTCAAGTGCAAAATATGAGAGGCAGATCGAAACGCATTTTGTCCACACATGAAGTCGGATCAAAACGCATTATCGTATTTTGCCGTTAGAAGGAGACACAATCTGATTTGGAAACGTGAGTCTTTTAGGTGAAGACTGGTTCGTTAAAAACTACAAAGACCTAAAAGTTGTACTGAAACCAATTGATGGGATTAGTGATTATGACAAGAATAACTTTGCAAAAATTTATAAAACAAGGTTACGTTGATGTTAAAATAAAACTTGAGCCTACCTACAGATTTGATCACATTTCGAAGCAACTAATGACAATAACAAAACGAGGTCGTACTTTAATGAGGGACTAATAAGGTCGTACCGTAAAATGGGGTGAATAGAAACATAGTGGTGAATAGAAACAAAATTTCTGAAAAAAATCAAATCACGATTAAAAATATTCAAAGTAAAAAAAAGTCGACATATCTAACTTTTCTATCAATGGTAATACACAATAAAATGTAAAAACTATATTTTTATCTGTGGCAGCACTGTTTCTGTCAATCAGCTGATCAATAAATGTGAGATCGATTTATCACCTATTTTGTATGGCGCGAAAACTTTATAAATAAAATATTTATTTTTAAAGTAATACATAAGCTGGTACATGTAAGTTGTCATATTATATGTATTGTTAATTATTGTTAAACTTACTTAAATATGTAATAATTTACTGTTTCTAATCACCTTGTTGGAAATAGAATAGATAAAAAAAACATTAACAGCAATGTGTGTTTCTATTCTCCCCGAATAGCAGGTGAATAGAAACACAAATGTTATTTTTATTTAATATTTATATGCATATTTTTCAAAAATCAAATTATATGTATACGCAAAGAACAAACAAAGACCCATGTTTTAAAATATTCGGGAAAATAATACCACATTTTTATCAACCGGTATATCGCTAATAGCCTACGAAACTGTTTCTATTCACCCCATTTTACGGTACTTTAATGAACGATCGCAATATTATTCCACTGCAAAATAAACTCAGGGAGGAGAAGAAAAACGATGTACGAAACCTTCTTTGTGCAAGATTTGGACAAGAATGGGAAGCTCTCATTCCGCTATCCTCGCTTAAATTCTCCACTCACGCCTTTAACACTGTAAACCAAACGGGAGCTGAAACTGCAGATCCTCTCGATGATGCAGCTAAAGAAGCAGCCGAATGTGACTGTCTTGAGGAGGACCGTAATCAAGAACATTTTTTTTTTAAATTTTCGTTTATTGTATTATTAGAGTTAAGATTACACACGTTTCTATTTTTGAAAAAATGCAAATAAAAATAAAAAAATGTTCTCGTTAATATTAGTTTATGTTGTTATACAGGTTATAAACTTGAGTTTTCCTGCAAACCAATTTCTTTTAGAATTAATAAAACGCAACAAACAGCATTATGTACAATTTGAACCACAACAAAACGAATTTTATACAATGTGACGGAACAAAAAGCATTAAGTCCAAACATTTTTTAGATTTTTCGCTTTTATCTAATAACAATTGATTTAAATGCGATGAGTTTATACGTCAAGACGTTAGTCTTCATCAAAAAAAAAATCGCCGTCCTTAAAATATATGACGGGGTTTATAAGAAAATGGTTTTTCGTTAATTCCCCAAAAAATGTATTTTGGACTAAATGCATTTTAATAAGTTGCTCCTCAATTAATAACTGTCCTGTTTCAAGTCAAATACAGTGCACTCTCTTTAATTTAAAGAGATTGCGTTTTTGCTTTTATTGTCAGAATCAGCTGTATATGTTTAGAACGGAAAAGAATCATCTTATCTTTTAGTAAAAAATCTGTATTTTTCCCTATTATCTAAAATGATCAAAGTTTACTAATGGTAAACTTTAAAGTAGTTGACGTGATGTGTAAATAAAAATCTCAGGTTATCTCTGTAGGTAGATAACTATTGTTGTATTGTTTGATAAATCATTAATTTCTTTACTGTAACATTATCTATAATCTTTATATTTATTATTATTGTCAAAAATATACACTGCACTTCTATTTTATCATATCTAAACACTCATATTAAATAAGTCACAATAACATTTTTTTCTGTTTTACATTTTGTTTTTAAATAGCTACTAGTAAATTACTAGTAGTTATTAGTACCGTGCTGGCAACTGTTACTTTTGGGTCGGCATTTACATGTGTGGAAGTAAATCGCATAGGGATCTTATTAAGTCGGAGTGAGAGAAATGCGACCGACAGACGCGACGCGCGACGGGGTGCTGTTGCGGCGTTGCCGATACGCCTTTCCCTATCAAGTAAAGTAAAATCGCGATCGCAAACCGCTTATTTTTAAAAGACTTTTTCTTCAAGAGATAACTATATAAAATCATTAGACATGTTTCTAAGCATCTGAAATGGAATTATAAGGATATCGTTAGGGTGTCATTTTTTTTAAAACGAGAAAACGTCAGTAATCGCGATAATTTAAAAATTCAACTTTTTAACACATAACAGGCCATAACTCAAGAACCACTTTAGATATTGAAACTCTTTTTTATTTTCAAGGTCGGATATTTTACAATATGTTTACATAAGAAAAATTCGATAAGGTTGTTTTTTCCATTCAAAAATTGTAAACAATCCATCCATTTACTTTTAGAGCATAGCAATTTTCAGCAACCGTGTAATTTTTTTATTGATAAAGATTTTCACATGCTGTCTACAAAGAAAATACAGCAGAAATATTAACAAAGTTCTTGTAAAAACTACAATCTATTATTTCTAATACATTTCGAGATATCGATTTTTGAATCCAAAAAGTTTTTACCAAAAATGCAAGTGTTTCTAGCTTGCACTTAAAAAAATTCAAGCTATAGGGAAAATTACAACGACTCGTTAATAAATAAACAAATTAAGTATCACGAGACGTAATTAAATCGTGAAGCTGAACGCATGACGTACACCTTTCCCTAGAACTTTAAGTACTGACAGAGGTATTGATTGGGTCGACCGGTCAACTGCGACAAATGTGTTATATCCCCTTCCACGTCTCTTAGCGATGTGCACAGTTTCTGGGTTTATTTCATACGTTTGGCAACGTGTTTACTGTCCTCTCTTTGTTCAGTACATTATAAACGCCATTGTACTCTTCTTACATACAGAAATTCCGACCTAAGATTAACCTTTGTCAGCCCTTAGTATATTTACTATAGGTATAGTATTCACTGTACTGTAAATAGCTATAGACTGACAAATAGAAGAGTATATTAAAAGAATATTTTGTAGAAAATCAGTGATATACATACGAGATATATATGTACATTCATAGAGTTCAAAATAAAATTACATACCCTCTAACGTGTTGCTATTCGTTCGTTCCAAGACCATAGCTCGACGAAGAGACAATCCGAAATCATGTCTAGGCGGTTTTTGTCTTTGTACAACCAAAATACGGGGTTTCGGAAGAATCATTGGCACAATTTCGGGAGGAGGTAGATATACGTCATCAAAATTCGATGTCCTAGACCACCTGAAATGGAAAGCCCCTTATGAATGTAACAAATAGAACTTTTAGAAAAATTATAAATTATAAATACAAATATAGAATTTATAAATTATAAATAGAAAATTTATATGGTATGTAATTCATAAAATAACAAATTATTTATCATAATTATTAATTACCTTGAAAGGCAACTAAATTAAAAGTCTATTTTTCAGTAGCTAAATGAATCAAAATACAGTAAATCTAAAACATTTTAACACTAAAACTTTTAAAAAAGACAAAAACAAGTGCACAGCCTGATCATGTATGGACAAATACATATTATATTTTAATGGTTTATTTTGTTCCACAGGTGACAGCTAATACACGAACGGACACGGCCCGGGTATGTGTGCCATCAGATTTTTAACATAAATTCATATTTACCTTTTTTATATTAAATAAATTTATAAATTCGTATTGTAGTTTTATCTGCAAATGCCTCTTGTTGAACAAAAAAGATAAGTTTGATTCGAAATGCTTATTAAACCACAAAATACATACATTCAAATCCCGACAAAGAAGCCATAAGTATAGTGTGAAAAATTAAATTATATATATTTTTTTCTATACGATGAAACCTTAGAATGACCTACTTACATACCTTAATATAAAAATATGTTTTTTTTTTAAATTATTATACATGTACAAAACACATACTATAGAATAAAGTTAAAAAAATCTTTTAAAGAAACAATACTTACTTACCAAAATACTTTGAACACTGGACGTAATTTTCGCTCAAAATGTTACCATCTTCAGCAGATTAGTAATACATACAAAACATGGTTGCGAAATGCACGGCCACACGGTGGAGTATTAGCATGGAAAAGTTGATCGAAATTCGAAAAAGCAAATGTGTTTAAGATTTCCCAAATAAGTTAAATCATGTCTGTCATGAATGGCGTTGCTATGGGTGTGTTTAGTTGCATTCATTTGTTTCAACGAAACTTCAAAGTTGTTACTTCTCAGAGATAAGAGGTAAATGGCTAAATTTTATGTTTAAAATTATAAATTATTGTTGTTCTGTTGCTCCTTTTACGTTTATATTATTGTTTTGATTGAAAATGGCTCAGCAAGCTGCAGGTATGTATTCTACAAAAACATATTATTTATTTTGATATTCTCTATACTAACGATTTTTTTTGCAACTAAAAGTTAGGCGTTCAGAAAATTTGATTAAATTTGTGACATTTTTATTATACTTAGAGATTTAGTTGCGCATTTCGAAGAATTCAGCATATTGTCTATATACGTTTTATTTAGTAAACATTGGGTTTTCATACAGTAAAATAAAATACTGCGACTTTTTGCGACTTTGCTGATAAAATGAGAAAAACATTCTTGGTTTCCTCTAATTTGCAAATCAGTGATATACTAATGTGAGGTGTAAAACGCGACGGCATTGTTGTGTACAAAGCGATCGCATTAGTGCCATTAGCAGTATAGCACAATTTGGCATTAGCAGCGGCTTTAGTGGTATGGGAATTGGTCGCGGATCAGTCGTAGCATTAGTAGTATTAGTTGCGATATTACTACTGGCATTAGTGGCATTGACCGTGGAAACACTGGAACAGTGATTTTTCTTTTTTTTTTAGAATCGTGAATTATGCTTTATTTTGTTCATATTATTTCTTCTTTAATTGAAAATAGCAATAATTTATATAAGGTCTACATAAAAAAATTTCGATCAACTATCGGTGTCAAATACCCCACTGTGGGCCAGTTAAATCAAAGTGTTTTGGTATTTGTGGTAAACCGAGGCGGGTAAACTCGTATTGTATTTTGTTTTGTGTATATCTGTATATCTATATCACGGTTTCAGAGTTACGGCGTGTTTTTTCAAAAATGTACATTTCTGAAAAACACGCGGTAACTATTTAACTGTGGAAAAATTTGTGTTTCCATGAAAAGAATTCCAAAGCTCCTTTTTACGTGGACTTTGATGGTTTAGTTACGTTTTTTTTAATTATACTTTTGATATTTGTTAGGTGTGTTTTTATACGGGATATCCTGTATATTTTTAATTCATTGAAAATCACTTAAATTACCTTTCCAAAAATATAGCATACTTGCTCGATTCCTCTTCGTAATATAGTTTTTAAACAATCGGCTACTTTGGAGGCTTTGGATGGCGCCTCAGTGCTTCTAATATTTGGTTTCTACAGTACATGGGCAATTTGAACATAAGGTCCTTTAGTCTTTCTCCAAAGATAAAAATTAGTGATGGAAAAAACCGATTAATTTCAATAATCGAGTACTCGAGTTTCAAGCTATTGCAATAACCAAGCGATCGCTCGTATTTAAAAATACGGTTTTTCGCCCGTCGCTTGTTATAAGTACTCGTTAACGCCAAGCGCCAAGCCACAGCTTAAGTAAAAACCAGCTCGGACAGTGTAGCGTGCCGCTTTGATCTTTTTACGCTCGGATTTGCGATTCGAAAGAGGGGGAACACTAGAGCGGCGAGCTCTCTCGCCAAAACCAATAGCCGCCTAAGCGCCAGTCAGCCCAGAGATGTATTCAAAAAAAAATTACACGTGATGTAAAAAATTATTCGACTGGTGCTAGAACATAATTTAGATACACGTGTTTTAAATTGTTGACTTTAAATAAATATGCATTCTCAAAGAAAAACATTTAAAAAACAAATTAATTAATTTATTTCTAGAAATAACAGCAAAATGAAATATTTACATTGATTACTTATAGTTATTTACGAATGTTTCTAAATTAGGAGCTTTCGGTTTTTGTTTGCTACATTTAAGTTCTTAGTAATATTCTTTAAGGTATAATAATTTCTAACTTTTGCGTATAAATTTAACAAAAAATACATTATAGGAAAATTTTGATTGATGGTTGAATTTAATTGTCTGAAATAATTTAACGAATTTACATAATATATTTTCATTTAAGAAAAGTTCTTCAAAATTGTTCTGAAAAATTTTATAAAAAAACTTTTTTAAAAACAAGTTTTTATTTAAATACACTAAAAAGAATAAAATAAACTTTTTCTTTAGAACTTTTATTATGAACTTATAACGTCATTACACAATTTTAATATTATATAAAAGCTTGTCGCGAGATTTGAGTGTACATTTGCACTCATAAAAATCTGGTACGACAACTTTATCTTGTAATTCCTGGTCTAGTGGTCTATCATAACACAAACTTTGAAAATGAGACAGGGTAGACACAGGTTTTAGTTAATTTACTTGTTTATCGATGTAGAGAAATCTCGCGACAAGCTTTTATATATCTAATATTAAAATTGTGTAATGACGTTCATAATAAAAGTTTTAAAGAAAAAGAGTTTATTTTATTCTTTTTAGTGTATTTAAATAAAAGTTTGTTTTTAAAAAAGGTTTTTTTATAAAATTTATTTTCTACTTTTTAGTTATGCTGGTTTCTCAGTGCCACACACTTAAACTCAATTTTTTTCTTAAATAACTTTCTATGGGTATCCTAATAATATGTATATCGATTTTCATTAAAAAAGGAGAACTTAAAAATGTGAGACAAATAAAATGAAAACCGACTATGGGGTAGGGGGCATCCAATATATCGATTTTTATCAAAATCGGACAAATTTGAAATTATTTGACAGCTGTCACATTTGACAGCTCAAATTTTTTTTCTTTCATTTTAGCCCACGGCCATCATCGAACAACTTTGAAATCGGACAACTTTGAAATTTTTTTGACAACTGTCAAATTTGACAGCTCAACATTTTTTTTCATTTTCGCCCATGGCCGTCCTATATATCAATTTTTATCAAAATCGGACAACTTTGAAATTTTTTTGACACCTGTCAAATTTGACAGCTCAAATTTTTTTTCTTTCATTTTAGCCCATGGCCATCCCATATATCAATTTTTATGAAAATCGGTTGACTTTGAAATTTTGACATGTCATTAAACTGTCATTTTTTTAAGATGGCCGCCCATATATTTTTTTTCATATGTATATACCCACAATATACCTATACAGGTTGTTAAATTGTTCATTACTCGCGGCAAGAGTTTTATGGTTGAAATAACCTCGGCCCGCTCGTCGATAGACGACGGGACGGGACGAGTCGGCAGAAAAATCAATAATGCATACGTTCTCAATAGGCAGTGTTGCCATTCTGTTTTCCTATAAGTAACTGTCGAGTTAACAACCTGTATATATATATATATAATTTCAGCCCGATCCATTCATAAATAGAATTTTAAAAAATCAAAAACCTCAAAAATACCGCCATTTTGACAGCTGTCAAAAATTCGGGTCATGCCTTGCAAAAAAATGTATTGTCATCGGGACTGAACCTACATGACAAATTTCAATCTCCTACAATAAAAGGAAGTGGTTTTAATTTAGCTTACAAGATTTGCCCCGAACAAACATACATACATACATAGATAGTTACATACAAAGCAAGTTAAATAAAAGCTTATAAAAATAGCCTCCAATGAGGAAACTAAATAAAAAAATGGTCACTTGGCATTAGCAAGCCTCCAAATAAGTAGTCTTCATCGTTTTGAAAAGCTCTAAAGTGTGAATATACTTTTGAATTGAACATTAATTTTGAATTGAAAATTAAACAGACTATATTTTGAATTATTTCCATAATTATTTGTGCAACCAGCAGCCGCACATCCCGGAAAACCTTTTCCCATTCCATCAATAAAAATAAAATTGAAATAAAAGCACAAATACCTATGGTTAAATATAAGAAAAAAATCGAATTAAAATCTTCCGTAATACGGCCCTACGCGCCACCGGTGGAGGCTATGCATCGACTGAATGAGGCTGACTGTCGGTCGCTTAATTCATTTAGCGCATCGTCGGAGTAGGGCGTTTTAAATTCGAGCGTGGGAAAAATTGGCGAGTGTCCAAGCTATATTATTCTGTAAGCTGTGGCCAAGCAGTGAGTTACGTGTGCAGGGCACATATTCTTTCGGTGATGAATGAATGGCAAGTAGCAAGCGATTGGCTTGATCGCTTGATTTAGTTTATTTCAAAGCATTATCGATATAGGTCGTAAAATTTTGTCCCTCAGATACGCAACGGTATAACGTCGTATAAATTTGCTACCTGCAATGTATGTAGAAAATTCGCTCGGCTTTTTATCGAGTATGTCACATTAAAATCGGATTTCAATTTATTTCATTCTAGGATCGCTTGCGTTCGTCGCTCGTAACTCGTCAGTTGCATCGCTCGTTCATAATCGAGCGATGTCGGTTATTTCAATAATCGAGTACTCGAGATTTTTGGAAAGGTAATCAGGGGCTCCCTTCAGTCTTCCAGAGTGTGTCATATAAAAAAGTAAAAGTAAATTTTAAAATTATATTTAAATCATTAAATTCAGCGTAAAAACAGCAAAAAGGTGCTTTGGAAATGTTTTCATAAAAACCCGAAATGTTCCATAGCAAAAAGATTACAGCAATTTGATAATAATGCATCTCCTTTAGAAAGGAGTATTTCCCTTTAAGAGATTGTTTCATTTGACCCACCTTATAGATCTTACCTGTGAAATCCCTGAGACTCTCCTACAGGACTCAGCGAGAAAGGAGGCGTGGCAAACGAACTGTTTGTAGTGTCGGTGAGACTATCGGCACTAGGCGACGTCGACGTAATCACCAACAACTGACTGCTCATACTCTTGATACCGAACCCGTTTTGCCCGGGTACGTTTTCGTACATTATCAACTCGTTCTGCAAAGTGTTTCTCACTAAATCGACGTGGTCGACGGGATCGTGGCCGTTCTGGCCGTTCTCCTGCGTCAAGGTAACTTTAGGCGTTTTCAAAATGCCCCTTTTCGGAGGTTTGGGAGGTAACAGAGGTACGTTTTTTTGGTTGATCGAATTGAGGCTGGTCTCGGAACTGTCCGATTGCGTGTAGCCGGCCTCGAAATGGCTGTACTGATTGGGAGAGCCCGGAGCCGCAAAACTGGGCAGCTCCGTCCTGTTCAGACTGGCCAGGAAGTCGGCGGTGTAGTCCGCCGTGATACCCGACGGTAGTTTTTCTTTTTCTTTACGACGGCCGCGAATTTTAATCGAACGACGCACCTGAAACAGAAAGAAAAGTTATTGTATTAGTATCATTAATCATTACAAATCGCATAATATAACAGAACTGTAACCACAGACAAAACCTCAGAGGTATAAAAAGAAATTAGTTTTAACTAGGGATGTACGGGAATTCCGGTACCGAAATTCCACGAAATATTGAGTTTTATTGTTCCCCAGCAAATAAAATTCTTATCTCTTTATCATATTGGCATGAAAATACTTCCTACAGGTGTACAGGGTGGGTCAAATTGTACGCAAATTTTAAAGGGAAACACTCTTTTCTATAGAAGATAGAGGAAAACTAATATCGGTATCTGGAGCTCAATTTTCACCAAAAACATGATGGTGAAAACCGCACATCCATATCTGTTACCGTTTCGGAGTTGTTGTACGGGGTGTTTTTCAAAAATGTGCATTTTTAACAAATCGCTGTAACTTTTTTGCTATGGAAAATTTTGTATTTTTATGAAAACATTTCCAAAGCATCTTTTTAAGTAGAATTTAACTCGGAATTTAACGGTTTAAGTATTTTTTTTAATTAATAATTTAAGAGTTATCAACAAAAAAAATGATTTTTTATTTGGGACACCCTCTATTTTTTTAATTAACTGAAAAGAACTTAAAATTACCTTGTCAAAAATATACTACACTTGATATTTTGTTATAATTCCCTTCGAAATACAGAATTTTTAAAAGTTCGCCACTTTTCTAGCAGGCTTTGGACCCCTTATTGATGATATGCCCCTAATGGAACTCGCAAACATATTTTTCCAGCAAGACGAGGCACCACCTCAGAACGCTGAAGTTATCAGCATATTTTTCCAGCCAATTTCAAGAATAATTGACTAGCTAACCAAGATCCCAGCCGTTGGCTGTCGAGGCCGCCGGACTTAGTGCCTATATGGATTTAATCCTATGGATATCTTTACGGAAGAATAAAGGTTCTTATTTTTAAATTGCCAGTATAATCTAGACAAGAATTAGAAATAATTAGCAGTTATGCGAGGGTATATTTCATCCCTACTGAGTTAAGGAATTCCGCGAGAAATGTCCAAAAACGGCCCCGTCTGTCCATAACAGAAGACGGTCGATATGTCGAACACCTATAGTAAAATCTCATGCCTTGGTATGTAATTTATTTTTATTGTTATTAGATATATAGGGAAATTAAAGTTTAAATGTTTTGATATTAGTTAAGTATAGTTTAAATTGTTATAAAATTCTGCATCTCTCATTGCAAATATTATTTTCGTTTTAATTGCTGCTCACAGCTAGAATTCTTCTGCATTACAGCCGGCGCCGTTCAAAGCCTACCCATTTTAATGTGGGCGAATTTTTATAAACTCTATACCTCGAAGAGGAATCGAGCAAAATATCAAGTGTGATATATTTTCGGAAAGGTAATTTTAAATTATTTTCAATGAATTAAAATATACAGGATATCCCATATAAAAAATCAAATTTTCTGTTGATAATTCTTAAAATATTAATTTTAAAAAAATGATTAAAAAAAACTAAACCATTAAATTCTACGTAACAAGTTGCTTTGAAAATATTTTAATAAAAATACAAAATTTTCCATAGCAAAAAAGTTACAGCGATTTGTTAAAAATACACATTTTTGAAAAACACCCCGTAACTCCGAAACGGTAACAGATATCGATATGCGGTTTTCACCAACATGTTTTTGACAAAAATTGAGTTCCAGACACCGATATTAGTTTTTGTCTGTCTCCTATAGAAAAGGGTGTTTCCCTTTAAAAGCGTCCAATTTGGCCCACCCTGTACATATTTTTTGTACCGTTTTCTTGCGCTCCTGTTAAATTAGGAATAATGGAATTAGCAGTTTGTCACATTTCACCGACGATATTTAAAATAATAATCGAGTATTTATGAATAGTATTGACAATGCATAGTTCATCAATATCTAGTATCACAGCTAATTCATTACCAGCTGGTCCTCCTCGCTTGTTTTTATTCGCGTTTTTCAACTGCTGCGCCTGTTCTCGTATACGCCAGGCAGTCAGAGTACTAGTCTTGGTCGATCCTTTGAAACGTATATAATTTAATAGACCTCAAAACCTAACTTCTTAACTGTTAACTTATTATAGGGATAGACAAATATCTAGGTAGTTATGATAAATATTAGTTATATTAAAAATATTAATGTTAAATTACATTTTCTATGTATATTACTGTTACCAATATACAGTTAGTCAAAAGCGGTTTTAATTGTTATTAATTACAATGTCAAATCATTGCAAAAAAAACAAGCTTATCTTGCAAAATACATTATGTACATTTAAAACAATTAAACCTATTGCGCAACAAAATATATAGTTTCATAGCGTAAATCAAACATGTGCAAAAACGTATATCACTAAAATAACGGAGAATATAGAATATGTATAAATAGAGTTATAAAGATCAATGTCTACGTGCCCTGCTATTGAATCTTGATTTCCTTATAGAAGGAATTAAATCAAAATGAAAGGTCATATTCAATTAAATGAAAATATACCTACTGCATAGAAGTCATTATGCATAAGCACAGTTACATTTTGAAATGATTGTATTTGACAATAACTTAATTCATTATATCAAGAAATTGAAAAAAATATTAATGAAAAATACCGTATGATCGAATAAGAACGGCGTCAGCGATGGCTATGAAATGAAGATCGCTGTCATTCTATATGTAAATTTATATGGGAAATGTCATCGATCGTCATTTCCAAGCCAACTGGACGCCGTTTTTATTCGATCATACCGTATTTAAACTATGATATAATACAATATGTAAAAATGAAGATCGCTGTCATTTCATATGTAAAATTATATGGGGAATGTCATCGATGTTTATTTCAAAGTCAACTGGACGCCGTTTTTTTTCGATCACACCAGTAGTATGTATAAAGAAAGAATATACACCGTGTCAATTTTAAAACTTCCCACCCTTAATATCTTTCTTGCAGTTAAAAATATGAAAAATCGGAAAGACACGTCAATTTTATTTGTAACGGGAACAGTTTAAATGAATATTTTTAGCCTTTTTCTTTCAACCCCCTAGGAGGGGTAGATGTCACCGTTATACTCTTAAATGGGAATGGGGGTCAAGTGGCACATTGTTTTAAAGGGTTTTTAATTCTTTTTTCAGTGGTATCCTACTTTGTTGCTTTTTGTTTCCGAATAATCGCGTTCCAAAGTTGCAGAAACAATTAAACATGCCTGCATTAAGATTTTGGTTTTCAGACTAGTATTTACACAAAAATTATTGCAATGGGTCTCCTTGTAGTACAAATAATTAGAAGCTTAGGTGATAACATGAACGTAGCCATTACATTTTCCTAATACTAATAAACAGAAAATATCATAACCATTAACGTTTCTTTTCTCAAATTATTTGCTATTTTTCTCACACCCTCATATTTTTCGAGAAGGGCATACACAATATCCCCAAAAAGTTAATGTTTGGGCTGGTGTTTTTGGAAATGCTTGAATGAATTGGTCCTTTATTTATCGAAGGAAACTTGACAGGTGATCTGCGTCTTAATATACTTCAAGAAACTATTGATGCTTTTATCACCCAAGAGCTAGAAACTCATATTGATGCAGAGGGTAATCCAGTTTTACAGGAGGATTTGTTTACATTCCAGAAAGACGGTGCTCCACCTCATTTTCTTCCGGTCCGACAGTGGTTAAACGAGAGATTTCCGGGTACATGGATTGGCCGAAGTGGACCAATTGAATGCAGGTTTCCCGCTTTCCGGTAGTCGGCGCCAATCTGGGCACCTATTCTTGACATCGTTCGCAATTTTGCGTATACGCATCACGTGTATTGTTATAAACCGGGTGTCCTAGAAATAAGTGCAAGTATTTTAAAGGGTGGTAGATCTCGATAAAAGAAACATATTTTCTCTTTATTGTTTTTCAAATAAGTCCAAAATAACGGAGTTATTTTACTTTGAAAATTTCCAAAAAGAATGATTTTTTGCTAAAATTTTGAGAACCTTCTTCTTCATGTGCCTTCTCCTCATCGGAGCTTGGCGACCATCAATTGGAATTCCTCCCTGTCTTGAGCCAAACGGATAATTGCACTGGTCTCTCCTATATTAAACCACTGGCGCTGTTTAAGAACCACTGGATCTTTTCTGGATTTTCTTTCTTGTAAATTTAATCTACTACCTATGTTGCCATATTATTAAGAAATTATGTTTTTTAAATAAAAACTTGAATATAACCTTGAAAAATTAAAGCGTGTTATTAAATCGGCTAGTTCACAGTGAAAGCAGGTAGGCGCCGTCAACCAGCATTCATCGGCGTTCTCGCTTTTACCGGAACGAAAATTTATTTATTTCTGCTTTTGCACGCGCCGACGGCGCACAGAGGGTATTAAGAACTAAAAGTTGGCCAAAATTATGTTTTATGATTTTTTTGCTTTTTTGCTAGTAATATTATTAGAGGAGAGGGTGCTAATATGGAACCCCATTTTGTTTTTCCAACACAATATTTTTTCCTCTACTCTGAAACTCTTTCCACCGATCAAATAGGGTCATTCTGTGCAAAACCAAGCAATTGAATGAGGATGCTAGAACAAGAAAGTAATTTGTATATTATAGACGATATTTGAGCGAAGATGGGTGTTATAGGGTAAGGACTAATTCCTTTAAGAATCTATTTAAATCAATGTTTTTTTTGGCAGTGGCAAATATTGGCAAGATTTTTGTACATATTCCAAAGCTGGAGACTTTAAGCATTGAACGGATACTAATTTCCATGCGGAATATTGCCGAATAGTCTTACACCTTATAAAAATGCCTCTGATTTTTTAAATATAAAACATCATAAAGGAATAGAATAGAAGGAAACGTTTTAAAATAAAAATATGGCATAAAACAGGACTTGCCAGCTGGCTCTGTATCCGACAGTTATTATAAACAATTTGCAAAAAAGCACTAAAAACAATTCCACTATTTTATACTTAGAAATATTCAGAA